TGAATCCTATTGCAACCAACTACCTATAGCATACCGGCAGTTTTCTACAAAACGATTTTTTCGACACCGCGGCTAACGTTGTCATCAAGATTACCACAAGATTTGTAAGGCATGACGCGGGTGCCGCCGTATTTTACATACACTACATTCGGTGTACAGTTACTCGCAACAATAAAAACGTTTTTATTTCCATCCATTTGAAATATTATCTGTACCTACGGCTACTAGCTGTCAGCTAGGAGGTGATTGGCATTAACTGGAATCATTGTTATTCTAAAGGTCATTTATCATATGTAACGGCTAGACGTTTCCTTTGTATAATAATTGTTTATTGCTCGTGACAAAACTGAAATATGATTTTCACATATTAAATCTTTTTATATTAAAATATTAATGAAAACACGCCAAGTGCTTGAAATACATTTAAAACTTACATTTTAGTGTTTTCAGATTTGTAACATTTGTTAACTTAATTTTGTAAAAAATGCATTTTTTTAATTTTAAAGGTTACAGATTATTTTGTTAATGTTTAACAAATTTTTCGTTGAAACACGTGATTTCAGGCAATCAATCAAAACATTTCTCACTGACAATACGCATCAACAAGTTCAACTGACTTCAGCGTCTGCAACTTATGTTTCTGCTTACTTTATTTTAATTCGTAACGTGTTCGTAACAAGTGTTCAAAGTGTGTATGGGTCGTTTTTAAAAAACACCCGCCTTCCGCTGTCCGTAAGTTTGAATTCCAATAACTTTGTTAAAAATTATCGGATCTTATTGATTTAACAACCAAGTGAAAGCCTAACAAGCCCTTAGTAAACTCTTTCAGAAAATTTTTGTTTAGATATTTCAGAATAATTTTTTTTTAATTTTGAACTTGTGAAACACACATTTTCGCATGTCCCATTAGCGTTTTATAAAACTTACATACATGTTTTTTTTTAATATTGAATAACCAGACCTTTGTGTTGCTTTATAGCAATCCATAACATCCTTAGTTAATACAGTAAACAATTTATATATAAAATAATTAATTTTAATCTACTTTTTTTAAATTTGACTCATGTCCCAGACATTTTTTCCGTTGCGTTACGTCCGACGAGTTAGCGATAGAATATTAAAAAAAACATATATATGGCAACTTTTTTGGCACTCACGTGATCAACAAATGATGTTCGGACGTACATGTACATGTGCACATTACCCAGCTGAATTTATTTATTCAATCAGGAAGAAGATATCGGTTGAAACAGGTGCGGGTAACGCGAATGTAATAATTGTTTGTCCGCCAAGTTACACAAAAAATTAATAAAAATAAGGTAAGAAAAAATACTATTTTTCATGTTTATGTTTATTTTAGGGCACTAAAGCTCATTGAGAGTAATTAATGACTAAAATGTCTTTTTAAAATATGGTTTTACAAAACTTTGTCCACTGCGTTACCGAGTCCACTGTTACCTTATGGTAACGCAATGGAATTTAGGATAATGCAATAGAATTTTTCGACAACAAAGTGGATATTTACCGTCGCTTTTATTAAAAGTAGTTTATGATAAACCAATTTAAAATTATTTGTGATACAACTCATGATATAGATTACATCCAAGGGAAAATTCCAAGCAATATAAAAGTACTAAAAGGGACCTTCACCAGCTTATAGTCAAAGAAAAGGGTGTCTACAATTTAGAAATCTATAGATTTCTTATAAGTTGTTATTCTGCAAGTGAGCACCACTACAAGGGATTTTGTTTATTTTTTTACGTTATCTGATTAAGTCCTTTGTGTACCCCTGTCCGTTGTGATACCAATGTCTATTTCGTTACTTTTTTAGTTTTTGTTAAAAAAAAATACTTAAAATGATTTTTATACACTATCACTTGGTAATACGTTTTTATAAATTAGAGTTTAATTCACTAATACAGTGACTAAAAGAAAATATTAATGGTATTGTTTTTTTAACAAAGAATCGGAATGGATTCTTTTAAAAAGTAACTTAACGAACATAATAAAAAATAATTGGAGTCAAAAGTTTGTGAACTAAGTACATTTTATTTCAAATTATTTTTATAACAACTTTTTTTATTGAATTAAATTTTGGATTTTAAATTGGTAACACAGTGGAGATATATAAAGCTAGCTAAACTTATTTTTCTGAAAAAAACGTAAAAAAAAAATGCTCTGCCTGTCTTAAATGTAAGTAAACAAAACTCTAAACATTTATAAAAATCCAACCAAAAGTCAATTTAAGCAAAAAAAATATTTTGATCTTCATTTTTCTGAAAGCGGGTGTTTCTTGAAAATGACCCATTATCTTAATAAAAAAATTCAAAAGTATAGCATGCAACTCGTTTATAAACTTTTCTAGACACTCATTTAATTAAACACTCGCTCGTGACTAAAATATCGTTTATCGAACTTGATACATAAAATACAATTTTTTGCTAAAAATGTAGGTATGTATTTGTAGGTAGTTATATGTTTATTTTACATAACAAAAACAAATTATCTTGTAACAATTATTACATAACGTATTCACGAACGAGATACATTTATGTGCATATAAATACAAATTAATTATTTTCCAAGGATTTTTCATTCCCAGTCTACAATAATAAAAAACCGTTTAAAATGTGTTCGAGTCAAATCGACGAGTCTATGTTTGGTCATTAAAAATTATATCTACATCGTTTTAATTTATTAGTAAAAGTTATGCATGCGTGTGGGAAAAAGTCTGGTTTTTCTCCGATAATTTATCAATTAAAAGTTTATTTATGGTTATGAAGGTAATATTGATTTTAATAGGTAAAAGTTTGTATTAAAAAGAAAGCCAAATTAATATTATTTTCCACCTGGGCTGGTTCAAAATTTCCCCTTACTTATTATATACGTACCGGTTTCAATAAAAGCACCAATTAATAAAAAAAAACATTAATTTGTATTAATTAAAATTTCAGGCAAATCGCTTATTTCCTGATTTTAATTCTCGATCTTAATTTTTAATTAGTTTTGTTAATCTTGACACAAAAAATAACGAGCTATATAATTAAAATTGTCCTGTTTACAGATTTGTTAAATTGCCCCCTCACATGCGTCAATAATGTTTTTTTAACAATAATTAATTATATACAATCATCATACATATTTTTGAGATTTTGCCAGGTAAGTAGTTCTCTAAATTTAAATCCAAAGATACAGTGTTAATATTATTTTTTATCTATGTTGCGTTCATAATGATATCATTATATCACCGCTTTCTGTGCTGTAATAAGATACTTTATCCCATCCAAAATTTTGATTTTATAGGTTGGCTATACTTTAAACAGCATAATATTTTGCATATTGGTTATAATATTTTTATGATTTTTCTAGTAATTACGAGACTTTTCTGGCAATAAATTTTGTTTAACACAAAAGAAAATCCTTTTTTTCTTTAACATTAACAGCCGCTTATTGTAAATAAGTAAATTAAGGACGGCATGGCGAATCGATTTTAACATTAACTTTCAAACCAATGATTGTGATACCAACTATTTAAATTAAAATTCGACCAAATTAAATTTAAGGTATAAAATTAATTTTTTTATGGAGTTTTTGCAAAATAGATAAAATAGCATAAAGAACTCATGTCTTAAGACCTTTTGTCGCACTCGTCCATTACAAAACTCGCTCCTTCGTGGCTCGTTTTCTAAATTGTCCGCGTGCGACAAAATGACGTCTTACGACATTAGTTCTTTAATATACTATTAAATTATGTGGTGAATTAAAACACTTCTATAAAATTAAACTCTTGTTAACTATTCGGTAACCCACTTTTTAATGAAGCAGCTATTTAAACCAATAAAATAAATCAAAATATATTTTAAGAAAATGCATTACTGTAACCACGGGTGATTTATTGATAACGACATTTAAAATAAGAATTTACAGCCAACAAATGGAAAATATTTTAAAATAAACCCGGTGAATAATGACAAAATATCATATTTGTCTGGTGCGAGTTAAATTTATTTGGCTTGCACTATAATTTTGTACACTTATGTAATATAATAGATATTTAAATTGGACCGAGTTATTGATCTAAATGTTGGTAGTCAATATTTTATGAGATGCATTAGTCATAACAGGTTTGTTTGTATTTGCTTTCGGTGCATTTAAATTGTGACTATAAATAATTTGCAGAATTTTTTAAAATTCTGATATTACTATAATGTATTTTAATAAAGCTTAAACAATAACTGAAATCAGATGAATTAATGATGCTCAAGTCAAGATTTTTTTATAAACCTGATATCTCAACAAACTTTTAAGCTAGCCTTAAGAGTCTTAAAGTGGGACTAAAGATAAGCCAACATATATTCTAAAAATAAATTCTAATCAATTAGGTCACCTCTGTGAAAATATTTACAAATTCCTAGTCGAGACATAAAAGTCAATTAGGTAGAGAGCTTCGTATACAAGAGTCAGGGTGCGGAATGACGACTCGTATAATAAGGCCCCATAAACTGTAAACATTTGTACTAAACACGAATGTCTTGATAAAAATTGAGCGGGCAGCCTTATTTATTACTTTTTGTCTTTTTATTGCGCTTTACCCTTTTGTTTGAGCAATAGTCATGAATATATTTTCTTTAGTTAGGAAGTACTTTAGTTAATGAAATTGGTGGATATTTCAAACGATGTTTCTACTTTTATTTATATAATTTTTCAAACGGTTTTAAGTAGTTTTTTTATTTTCATTATTATTTTTGACCAAGAGCAAAATTATTTACAGGATAAAAAGCTTTACCCATATGAAATAAATTTTGTTCTTTTCGGTAGATAAATCGGTGGTTACATTTACGGCATTCTTATCTAAAAGGAAAGGATAAAAATAAAACATAACTTCACAGTTTACTTAACAAATTCTGCATTCACTTTTAATCGTTAGATTAACATGTTTATGATACAGGAAGGTTCCAATCGTCGACCGCCTTTAATTACAGCTACAAAGAAAAGTGAAATTACTCGGTGCGCGTGCTTCTTCCGACCGTTTTCGGCATCTTCTTGTTGGTGGGATCTTCGAGCTCTTTTTGCTTGTAATAATGCGGCGCCACCTCCAGCAACCACTTGCTTTCGATCTCGACCACCTGCCTCATAAATTCTTTTGTGGTGAACACCAACTCGTGATACAGCAGCCATCGTGGTAGCTCCTCGAAAAGCGCGCTGTTCGGATGAATGGTCACGCTTTGATTGTGCTTCACCGTCTTGTAGTTACCACCCTTCGACAGTCTAGCTATGTGGTAGAAATACCCAGCTGTAATACTCTTCCGTATATCGACGGTCTCGGATACATTTGAAACCATCTCTATCTCGACTCTCTGCATCAAGCCTACGAGTTGTTCTCTAACGTCCCTAGCTCTTTTCATGGATCTGTACTGTATAAAATTCTCGTAACACCACTGCGTGGAATAATCAGAATCTTTCCATTGGTTGTAAACGTTGAGCAAACTCAAATGATCTCCTCCAGGATGGTTGAAGTTCTTTCTAGCTGTATCAGCATGTATGATCTTATCTTTGGGTCTGTAGAATATGGCGCCATTAACAGACAGCATAGCTCCGATCGAAACTATTTCTTCCGAACATTTATATTTCTCAGACGCCAAAATCATTTTCGCCATCATTGGATCAACTGGGAATTCTGCCATGCGCCTCCCTAGCTTTGTAAGCTCACCGTGATGATTTAAAGCTCCAAGAGCGTACAGTTGTTCCAGAGCCAACACCAGAGTTTCATGCGGAGGAGGATCCAAAAAGTCGAAGTGTACCAAGTCGTTTATACCCAGTGCTTTCAACATCAATACAGCGTTACCCAAGTTGATTCTCTGTATTTCAGGAACAGTATTGTCTTCCAACTCGTGTTTGTAGGACCAGGCTGTGTACAGTCTAAAACATTTACCGGCTGCCACTCTACCGGCCCTGCCGGCTCTCTGATTCGCCGACGCTTTAGATATGGGAACCACCATCAAACTCTCCATGCCGGTTCTGGAATTGAAGTGGTTTTGTTTTGCAAACCCAGGATCAATAACGTAGATGATGTTGTCTATGGTCAGTGAAGTTTCCGCAATATTGGTGGCCAAAACGACTTTCCTTGCACCTGGTGGTGTGGGTTCGAATATTTTCGCCTGCATATCGCTGGGAAGGTTAGCGTATACCGGTAGAATCAAGAGTTCTTTAACTTTAGAGCCCAAACGTCTCACACGGTCGGTGAGCAGTTCTTGGCAAGTTTCAATTTCCTCTTGACCTGTAAGAAATACCAAAATATCCCCCAGGGGTTGCGTGGCATGTATTTGAAGTACGGAAACAACACAAGCGTCTATGTAATCAGCTTCGGGAGCTTTAGTGTAATAGATATCGACTGGAAATCGTCTACCGGGTATTCTAAATATCGGCGCTCCATCAAAAAACTCGGAAAACTTCTGCGCATCCAGAGTTGCACTGGATATCAGCAGCTTCAAATCAGGTCTGAATCGGGCGATATCTTTAACCAAACCAAAAAGAATGTCGGTATGTAAAGTTCTCTCATGAGCTTCATCGATAATCATGACGCTGTAAGACTGCAAGTCCGGCTCAGACAAAAACTCTCTATGCAACGTACCATCCGTCATGTACTTGATGACGGTTCTTTCCGAGGTACAGTCTTCAAAACGTATGGCATACCCAACCTCATTGCCCAGTTTAACCCGCATCTCCTGGGCTACACGAGCCGCCACTGACATGGCAGCAACTCTTCTCGGCTGAGTGCAACCGATTTTTTTACTATCTTCGGTAAAACCGGCCTCGTGGAGGTACTGTGGTATTTGCGTGGTCTTACCGGAACCGGTCTCGCCCTCTATGATTAGCACTTGATTTTCGCGAACAGCGTTTATGAATTCGTCTCTGAACGGGAATATAGGTAGACTTTTTTTGCATTCTTCTATGTCCATGATTTTTTTCTCCACCTCAGTCAACTGGGGTTCTTTTTTTTCCTTTGTGCCGGGTAGCTTTAAGGCTTGGATGAACTCAATTTGGTCTTCGAGGAGCAGCTCGTAATCGTCCCTACTTTTGGCGTCTTTGGCGCCGAATTTGAACACCGCCGACGCCATTTGGTCCTTCTCCCATTTCTTTTGCTCTGATTGAGGTACTTTTTCCAAATCGTCCACTTCCACGTAATTCTCCGTGGAGTCTTTGCCCAAATCTCTGGGCATGTGATAACGCTGCACTCTCTCCAACTCCCTGGCTTTTTCATGCTCCATCGCAAGCCTCAACAACTCCTTCTTGTGGGCCCTCTCCTTCTTCTCCCTTTCCGTCAATATTTCCTCCTCGAACAAATACTCATCGTCGGCTATGTCGGCCTCCAGTTCCGCCATCTTATCGTCCTTCCTCTTCTCCAAGTACTTCCTCCTCGACTGCACCCTGAGCATCGGTATAATCTTCTCCTTGTCCTCGTTCTCCATTTTGAGCCTCTTGGCCGCCTCTTCGTAAGCTCTTTTATCTGAGGCGTGCAGAATATTCCTCGTTCGGGATTCATCTTTCTTCTTTAGTCTGTCGGCGAATTCGTCTCTTTCCTTCAAGTCCCTCTTGCGGGCCTCCTCGGAACTATCAACACTGTCCGAATCCGAATCCGATTGGTAGCGCTTGCGGCGTTTTTTGTCACTCATTTTAGTTTATGTTTTTTTCGGGTTGGTTAGATTTAAAATGCACTACACATACTTACTATGAAGACTAGGATAGAAAAGATCGTTTACCTGGAACAGATAATACAAAGTTAGTTTATTGTTTATTTTTAAGCATGAAATTTAAAATAAAAATGATATATGATATGATATATTAAACAAAACCTTTATAAGGAAAGAGAAACAACAATACGTAAGCTTAAACGTTATCAGCAAGGACTAAGGCAAATTACATGTCTGATTATTAAATTTCTCGATTTTACTATTGGTAAAACTGTATGATAGATGAAGTACAATTCAAAGAAGGTACACTGTTCAAAATTTCAAGACCATTTTAACACCAAATTAACACCAAACATGGTCTATATCGATACAAACCAAAATGGTGTTAAATATGGTTCGTTGGTCCGGTGTAAATTCAAATACTAAAATAGTGTTAATTTAACTTTCACACAGTATTAAAATAAATTTTACCTGGTATAAATTGAACTCCTTTTCAGTGTTAAATATTATGTGGTTTTGTCACAGAAAAAAGAAAAAAGAAACGAAACAGGACGCATTACTAGTATATTACCAGTGGTATTATTCCAGAAAATGGAACCTTCAACTCGCTAGAGATAATATTTTTAGTGCGTTCCACTAACTTAAAATACTTCAAGTATTTCCACCTATTTAAGGTCTCTTTAGTATCGAACAACTTGTAGTATCACACCAAAGCAAAGGACTACCTGAGCTTATATACTCTTCATGTAAGTCAACAGAGGCGAGATTAAAGAACATCACGTGATCCACACCGCCTTTGCCGCGATCGGTACACACTATGCAACCGGGAATGCACGGCAAATTGTTTTAATCGTTTTAACAGAGTGCTTTAGGTTGAAGTTACTCTTATTTTACAAACAACATATTTAGTAAAGTGAACCATACAGCGGGTTGGTTTCACTAAAGTTTTCTGGGTTAATTTAACCAATTTAAAAAAAATCTGGTTTAGTACCGTCAGACTAATCTTTGTGTATATTAACCTTCCCACAGTTGATAAAAATAAAAAAAATACAAAAATAAATACTTATGGGTCAACTAAATTAATATAGTTAAATGAACTATTCCTTTTTTTCTGTGTAGGTGCACTTCTCAGATATTTTTAGATAAACACCGTTTTGGTGTTTGCTGTATATATATATAACATTTTCAACCATAATTCATGGTGTTATATTAACACCACTTGGTGTTGGATTTTAACACCATTTTAAGATTACTCTTTACACTACAGATATTTTAAACAGTGTATAACCTAGGCAAGAGCTCTCGGTATTGACTGCCGCTTTTTTGCTCTCCTTTGATTACACTATTACCTAAAATTTTTTTATTTTTAAATTTGGCATCTCCATTGCTATCGGCAATGTGGAGCGAATTCTGGGACACAGTGTATATTTTCTAATAACATGCTGGAAAAAAGAGATCAACAACCTTTTTAACGACCTAGCCTAATTTTTAAGATGAAGAAACAAATGGAAAGAAGAATGCTAGGGTTCACAGAATGTTAAACAATACCAAGTCAATAAAGATAATGAAGCCTCAATCAGTTAGAGAATCAGATGAATTGATAACATTACAAGCTTTAAAAACATACATGCAAATCGCAGACTAAATAGCGATTAGCAGTTTAAATATTAAAAATCAATACATGGTTGCAAAATTAAAAAGGTATCGACGCTATAGATGGCGATGGTGAAATAAAAAGTAAACATGTGCTTAGTCAAAAAAACAAACATGACTTTGGCCGACTTTATTTGCTTGTTTTTAGAATGTGAGTGCAAATATTTTCAACTTTTGACAGAATCAACCCACTTAAAAACCAAATTAAAAATCAATTTACTGTAAAGAAAGTTTTGTCGCGGAAATGTTTTTAAACAATGAACTTTTAACCTTTCTAGCACTTGTCAGCATTAAAATCAATCAGTGCATGTCATACATACAAATTATACCATTGTTGTAACAATTTACAATCGTAAGTTGGTACTTTTAAATTTTTATGTTGAGCCAATTGACGACACAACTTTATTTATTGATTAATATAAAATGTAAGTATATTACCCGCAAGCTTCCTTTCGATTATCATTTACCACAGACATTTAATCACAAACCAAAACCACTTATAGCAAAACGTTAAAACGCTGCTGTTGGGCAGTGTTATCAGCGGTTGTTTATAAACTCCATAAACAGTAGGAAATGAAAATTGCTATCATATTATTAGTCATTACACAAACAAAGAACTTAAAGCTCGAACATCTGCGACTAAAAACAAACAGTCTATTAGTTATACAATTTTATGTTGTCGATTTTTAAATTAATAAGTTGTTAGAGCTTATTAGTTCCCGTATTTGGACATGGATATCATCAGAGTCATGATTGACAGGCTACTTACCTGTTGGAATTAAATTAGATTTTATTATGAGAAGATATTATTAGTAATTGATTGACCACTATTGAGTACACTGTTGTAAATAGTGTGTATTTTTTTTCCTATGGGAAAGTTTTCCTTTTGTAAAATCAAACTTAAAAATATTAATAAGTAAATAAATATTTATTCGTTAATTTATGTTATCATTAAAAAATAATTAATTTACTATATTGATAGAGGTTTTTAATTTTATTTTAAACGTTATTAGTGGTTTTTTATTAAAAGTTGCATGTAACATGCAATTGTTAATTTAGCGAGTGTGTACCATATAATTAAAATTAAATTATAGTTTCCAAACAATAGAAATTAAAAATATTGGGTGTGTTTATGATTTTTAGATTGAAGATTAAAATGTATAGACAGACTAGAAACCTTTGTAGTAAGATTATTTTAATTTTTATTAAACTATATACGAGGTGTGTTCAGAAAATAACGGGAATTGTTAAATTTCGCGGGTTTGGAGGGTCCGGTTGTCATACAATTTTCTTTAATATGTTGGTATACATGCCCCCGAGTATGATAAAAACTTTAGCTGTTTTCATTGTTTACTTTGTCTGTGGGCAGCCGCTAAGGTTAGACGTGTTTTATGAGCTCGGCGATTTTTCGTTCGTTAAAAGAAATGGATCAAAGAATTTGTATCCAATTTTGCTTAAAAAATTAAATAAATTTTGTGAAATGTTAACAAAGGCCTATAGTGAGTCTGCTATAAGTAAAACAAGAGTTTACAAGTGGTATAAGTTTCCAAGATGGCCGTGAAGACGTTGAAGATGACGAACGCCCCGAACGCACAAGCACATTAACAACCGATAAAAACATGGAAAAAGTGGAAGAAATGGTTATAAACCTTCAGAGAAGTCGCTGTTTGTATATCGATTGGCTCATCCCATGAAATTTTTTGGGTATGGCAGAAAAATTTGTTCTAAAATTGTTAAATTTTGAACAAAATTTTTGGCCAAAAATACTGTAATGATGCCCCAGCCTCCATATTCGCCAGACATGCCTCTGTCTGACTTTTTCCTATTCCCAAAAATAAAGAGAACCTTAAAGGGCCATCGTTTTGCAAGCATAGATGACATTAAAAGCGCATCGCTGAAAGAACTAAAGGCTATCCCAAAGATCGAGTTTTAGAAGTGTTTCGAGTATTGGAAGAAGAGCTGGCACATGTACATAATATCCAATGGGGACTATTTTGAAGGCGACAACATTAATGTAGACGAATAAATAAATATTTGTTTCAAAAAACGAAAATTCCCGATATTTTCTGAACACACCTCGTATAGTAAATAATCTACAGATTCTAAAATAAGCAATTTCCCAATTTTTGATTTTTAAATAATTTTGTTAATTTAAAATATTCAACTCAAACTGCAGTTATACATATGTGTATTCCTTTTAAATACCATTGACCTATACGAATAGATTTAAAAAAACAATCAAATGGTACACTTGTATTTATTTAGAACTCGCTGTAAAGTGCAAATTTAAATAAATTAAATTCCTTTGTGTCAAATGATTACGGTATTGTGCGTACAGCTAAATAATTATTATGTAATTAGGCTGACTTGATTAAATTTCGATATACGCTCGATTTTTTTCGAGTGTAGATACCCCATTTAACAATTTCCGTTGGCTGAAAATTATCATAATAATTATTATGAAAAATGCTAATGCCAATTGCATTATTTTAAAATAGAAAAAAATATCTTACTCACGCATATGCCATTTATGTAATTTTATTAGTTTTCTTGATCTCCCATTAATAATAATAATAATTTTCTTTTCGTTTAATCTGACAGACATAATTAAACCAGTACATTTTGTTTTATTCTCAATGTGGCAGACAACTTAATCCTTTAATTATATGAGATACGTTATTAAGTCTATAAAAATTTCGTCTAGAAAAAGAATTAACCTACATTGAAGTAATCGAGTAATAGGAAGAATATGTTACATTTCTTAAGAAATCTTTATATGGGCAACTGTTTGTGTTTATTCTTTACCCACGCAAAGAAAAACGTTTTTAATTTAACAGTGGTTAGTTAACTGTTGCTTGTAATATTTATAAAACAATAACCTTGCTAAAGTGCGGTATATTCAATTAGGATCATAGATACAAATTAAAAAAAGTGGCAATGAAACTCCTTTTTTTATTATTTTTTTAATCGTTTTCATATGATGATGCTCTCAATCATTGCCAGGTTTTTGTTACCACTGACATTGGATAAATAAATTTTGTAATAAATATTTTGTACGTGATACTATTTCGGAACTAGCTGTTGTATTTAAATTACGATATTTTTATTGATTTGTAATCGCAAAATATTAGTCAAACGACCAAAATAAGGTATAAACCAAAAAATATATAAGTAGAAATACTTTTTTGTGAAATTAGATTTATTTGAATATTAAGGTACTGTGTCATAAGAGTACGCAGTATACTACAGTCAAAATAATTAAAATCTTGTTGAATTACTTAGATATAAAATATTTGATTGATACACATTTTCCATATGTTTTGTTATCA